GCCCCGCGCCACAGCAGCGACCCCACTCGCAGCGCCACACCGCCACCCGGCCCCATCGCCGTCGCCGCGCGTGACGTCAGGGGCGGGTTTCACGGGGACCTCAGGCTCTACGCCTTCTGATTGGCCAGGTCTGCCAGCACCGCCTGGACGTTTACGTCGTCTGTGGGCGGAGCCAGGCCCTGAAGCAGGGATCTTGGGCGGAGTCTGGAGCGAAGGCGGGAGAACGGAGATTAGGCAGGTGTGATTTGTGAGAAGGTTTGGTCAAAAGGTGCAAAGCGTGTAATAGGTTCCCTGGAAATGCTTGATATGTTATTTAATTTTTTTATTTTTATTTTTTTTATTTTTTCTGGTACCGGGGTCCGAACTCACGACCTTGAGTCGGGCAAGCGCTGTGCCACTGAGCTAAATCTCCAGCCCCTTATTTAATTTTTAAAAAAGCATTAATAACCAGAGCGCAGGGCACAAGTCTGTGATCCCAGCATTTTCCGGGCCGGGGCAGAAGAGTCTTAAGTAGAGCCGTCTCAGCTACTTAGGTGACTTACTGCAAAAAGTAAATAAATAAAAAGGGCTGCCGTGAAACCCCTGGGTTTATTCTCAAGTACCGCAAAAACAAAAATAAACAAAAAAAAACCCAAACACTAATTTGGGGGGGGGAATTTTATAAAGTACAGAAACTAATAGCAGTACCTCTGTTTACACCCCCAAATATTTACAATTGCTTCAAGTCATTTTTGAAAATTAAAAAAATTAAGTTTCCTAGGTTCTGCAGTTCCAATCTCATCCTCTTCAATTTCATTCCTTTCTAGGCATGAATTTGGTGTTTCTCCTAGTTTTTTTATCCTTTCCAAGTTCCCCCTTTGTCTCCAAGTGTCCCAAACCTGTGTATCCATCTGTTGTTTTTGTTTGTTTTTGTTTTTTTGTCTTTTTTGAGACAGAGTCTCGCTGTGCAGTTCAGGCTGGCCTTGAGCGCACTTTGTAGCCCAGACTGGTCTCGAACTCTCAACGATCCTCCTGCCTCAGCCTCCCAAGTGCTAGGATTACAGGTGTGTGCCACCACGCCCAGCTGTGTATCCATCTATATTTGCCATCAAAATGATCTGTCCAGGTCGGGGATATAGCTCAGCGGCACAAGCACCTGCCTGGCAAGTGCATGGTCCTGAGTTTGATTCCTGGTACAAAAAAAAATAAATAAAAAAAAAACAAAAACAAAAACAAAAACAAAAAACAAAGAATGATCTGTGCGTGCCACAGTCCTTGCAGGTAGTGAGCATATGGAAATGGGTACAGTCATGCCTCACTTGATGGGAATTTGTTCTGAAAAATGTTTCCTTAGAGAGTTTTGTTGTTGCAAATGTCAAACAAAGACAACAAAGATATTACTAGGTGATACTGGTATAATCTTATGATACCACGATTGTATATGTGGTCTGTCACTGATAAAGGTGTCAATGCATGTTACATAACTATACCATCTGTCTACCAGCTGGCCTCATAGAGGAAGAAATACTTCAGTCATTCTGATAATACCCACTAGAAAAAGACCACCAGGAACGCACATGCGGCCAGTTACAAGGGAGACCGCAGGACAGAGGTACATCTCAGTGGAGGCAGGAGAAGGGGATTGGCTTAGGCTTGTGCTTGTTCTGCAAGACCAAAGGAAGTGGGGTCAGCTGTGAAGTGGGTGCTGACGCAGAAGCAATTTACCAAATGTGTCTCTCGAGTAATCTGTGTTCAGGAGATAGAAGAATGTTCCTGGAACTGGCGATGCATCCGTCACTCGCAAGGACTGGCGGTCTGGGAAGAACTGGGTCCTGTTAGAAACATTGCTTTATGTTCCATGAGAAACACCACATCCTGATTACCAGGAGGGCTGAGAAACGGTCTCAGGCCCCTTATTCTGCAGAAATGTAACGGTTAAGAGAAATGTAGGCGGTGAGACCTGAGGGAGGAGTGATGCCTGTGAAAAAAATGGAAAATTACAATGAAAGCGCTGAGAGAGGTTTTCTAAATGGAGTCCGGAGGCCGTAGGGAAGCAGGACTTACGCATGGGTTGAGCTGCTGCTGAGGAAGGAGGACTCCCGCCTCACTACCCTTTGAGAGCAGACATCTGGAGCAGATCCTACAATGCGCCCGGAGACTCAGGTGTGTTTGGAGAGGCTCCTGGACTCTTGCTTTGTGGACGTGGTTATGCGGTATGTGCATTCGCTGGTCTTATCAGTCGCCCAGCTCCTGTTGCACAGCCCTCTTCTCAACTCTGACGATTTTCCCTACCAAAGAATTTTTATTGCTTGGAACAACAGTTTGCTCCTCTAAGCCCCCACCTCCCTGCGTTCCTCAGAACACTATTTCAGTCCGCCCGAACCTGTGTCTCCCTAACTGCAGTTCCTAGGACCGCAAAGAAAGATCTTTCCTTTTATGGTTTATGAGTTTAAATTGACTGGCACGCAGAAGCGGTGTGTCTGCGGAGCGACCCCTGGTGGGCACTCATGGCAGCCAGAGCGGGATGTTCCTTTCACAAGAAAAAAACGATCCCACACGGCGGTTTCTGATGAGAAAGCGTGCACTCGGAGACAGAGGTTGTCAGCCCTAAGTCCTCCCTGTTCGTTACTGAAAACCGTTTTTCAGGCCGTGTTCCCATCCGAGGAAAGACGGGAATAGCTGTTACCCCAAGAGAGGTCTTCACACTTGCAAAACTCCCCACCCTATGCGAGCCGGAACCTCTGCTGTTGGGCTTGAACTTCATTTCAGATCAGGGCAGAATCAGACGGGGAGAGTCGATTCATCATCTCTGCCTTTGGAGTGCTGGGTTTGGGGACTGGGAAGTTCATCAAACCCAACCTTGGCTTTCCCCTTGGACGCATTTACTATACAGCAGTGTCTCCTAATCTGGGGACCAGAATCTTCTGCAAAGGACCCTTAAGTCCACAGACGCATCACACATTGTCTTTGAAGTGAATAAACATTTTTTGTAGCAAATGGAAATAGAGACTGTTGGAATTCAGCAAAATTTTACAGTATTTAAAAGTGTGGCTTCGGGGCTGGGGATTTAGCTCAGCGGCACAGCACCTACCTGGCAAGCGCAAGGTCGTGAGTTCGGTTCCCAGTACCGAACAAGAACAACAACAAAACGAACTAAATAAATAAATAAAGTGTGACTTCAGACTACCTTTTTGTCATGCAGGTATTCAACGATAAATATTTAGAGAGCCACAATTTTTTCAAAAAGTCACTATAATAAAAAAGGTTGGAGGGGCTGGGGATTTAGCTCAGCGGCACAGTGCCTGCCTGGCAAGTGAAAGGTCGTGAGTTCGATTCCCGGTACCGGAAAAAAAACAAAAATAAATAAATAAATAAAAATTTAAAAAATAAAAAAGATTGGGACTCCTACTGTCTACCTCTTGGGGCCGCTCAGCCCACTGCTTGGCAGCTGTAGCTAATGGTAAATATTCTTGTCATTTAAACTTAACCGCTTTTCCCCTTGGACTTCTTCTGTATGTACTGTTTCTGTTCTTTAGAGACCTTGCTTAAAAAAGGGCTAGGATTAAACGGACTTCTCATAAATCTAATACAGTAAATCCAAAATACTATATATTTGTAAGTTTCTATTTAAAAACTATCTTGTGCCTGGCATGGTGGTACACTCTTGTAGTACCAGCACTTGGGAGGCTGAGGCAGGAGAGTGGCTGTGAGTTCAAAGCTACCCTGGGCTACACAGTGAGTTCAAATCTAGCCTGGACTACATTGCAAGACCCTGTCTCCACAAACCCCCCAAAACTATCTTGTCCCCCACTTTGTATGTCCCCTAATTAGAAACAAAGATAATGTCAACAAGACATTGGTACCGCATGATAATATTTAGGTGCCATTTAAAATTTTGAGACAATACCACAAATTGCTGCATACATATGGAGTTGGGAGGGCAATTCCTGGAGTAATAAATCCTTTGTGGGTAGAAGCAGGTGTCTCACTGTGACTCTAACTGTCACACTCCTGGTGTTCTTATGCTGATGTTTCTTTACATGCGTTAGTTGTGAGGGCTGGCCTAATGGAATAACACAGACTACAGGCGCTGCACAACAGAGGTTAATTTGCTCTGGGACTGGGGATTTAGCTCAGCAGCAAAGCGCCTACCTGGCAAGCGCAAGGTCGTGAGTTCGGTTCCTGGTACTGGAGAAAAAAAAAAAAAAAAAAAAAAAAGAAGTTAATTTGCTTGCAGTCCTGGAGGCTGGACATCCAAGATCAAGGTGCCTGCAGAGTTGGTTTCTGGAGAGGCCTCTCTCCGTGGCTTGCTACTGGCCACCTTCTCACTGTGTCTTCATGTGGCCTTTACTTGTGTCACTTACTCTGTATCCTTCCTTTCCTTAGAAAGGCACCAGCCCCACTGGATTGGGCTCTGTCCTGATTTAACTTAACCTTAGTTACTCCTTAAAGGCGCCAGCCCCAGGTGCAGTCCCACTGGGGAGTAAGGCTTCAACACATAAGTGGGGAGGGGCTGGGGATTTAGCTCAGCGGCGCAGCGCCTGCCTGGCAAGTGTAAGGTCGTGAGTTCGATTCCTGGTACCAGAAAAAAACAAAAACAAAACAAAAAAACCCATTTAAGTGGGGGGTTCAGCTCATAACAGTTGTCTTTATTGGATGCTCCTGGGTTTATAATGGGGATAGGTTCCTGTAAACCCATTGTAGATTGAAAATATGATAGCTCAAGACTGCTTTCAGAAAACCTTACCTACTGAGTAATTAGCGCCGCATCTGAGTACACTGTAGAGCACCGATTGTCCCCCCTTGCGATCTATTGATCTATCGATCTGTCTTGTGTGGCTGAGGCTGACTGGGAGCTGTGGTTCACTGCCACTGCCCTGCCCCAGGAAGAGCGCAGTGCCACAGATCAACCTAGAGAAAGGTCCAAAGTCAAAATTTGATGTGTGGATTCCACTGAATATGTGTCATTCCTGAACCACGGGAATATCAAGAAATCCCCAGTGGAAGCATAGGTTGAAGCCATCTGTGTATTTCTTCACTGAAATGCTTGTCATCGTCAGGTGGCCACTGCCTGTAATCTCAGCTACTTGGGAGGCTGAGGCAGGAGGATTGCAAA